GGGCGCGCGCAGCTGCCTGGAGGTTGCGCGGGGACCCGGGCGCGCGGCCCGGAAGAGCAGAATTGCTTTTGTGCGTTCCCCGGACGCCCCCGTTCCCGTTGACTGCAGCCACGGTGCAGCCGGACTAAATTAAATGCAGGTGTTTTGGTACCGAGCCAGCAGAGCTGTGCTGGAGCTGAGTGCGGGCCCTGTCCCCGACGCGCCCCTCTAGGTGGTGACACTTTTCGCCATCGGCCCAGCAGAAAGGGGGGTTGTGTCCTTCCTCGTGCACGCGCATCGTGCGGCACAAACGGCGTGCAGGAAGGCTGCGCTCAGGTAAGAGAGGCGCTGGATGCTGCTGTACCACCCGGGCATGCTCTTTTTGCTTGCTTAGGAAGCAAATGCAAGAACCATGCTTGGGTGTCTCGAATCTGACTGATTGTAAAGACAAGTAGTTGCGACAGTCACTTGGTAACATGACTGCTCCTGCTGTGCACCTGCACCTCGGTACTGATCTCAGACCAGGGAAGAATTTGCTCGTGGGTGAATCTCTGCGGGTATCTGTTCAGGCAAAGCAGTCTTGGTGGGTAGATTGCAAGGAGATGGACCCTGGAAAGGCAGAAATTGCAACCAACACTACCCATCCCCCTTCGCTTGTGTTGTTCTATGGTTCCTGTCCTCTTCTCTGGCAACTTGTCAAAGTGCAGTATCTACAACTTTTCCAGACGTAAGCAGTAATAGGGAGGGATTCCCTCTTTCTTGACAATTTAGGATAAGAACTGTCTATGGCAGTACAGAGAGGGAGCAGTGGGACAAGGACCAGGGCTACTATCTTGGGTTCAAACTTTACAAAAGGCCAGCGGGACAATGGGTTCACACCCCAAAACTGAAGTAGCTGCAGCTCCCTTGTTGAGATTCCATTTCCCATTAACGGCAGTTAGTTAATACTAGGTAACTGCACTGATGTGAGCAGCTAATATGGACCACTCGAGATGACAGTCACCCGTGTGTCCAGGAGCTGTTTTGGCTGTGTGAATACCTGAGTCGACGGAAAGGTACATTATTGCAGAATATAGCATCCACTCAGGGACCCATGACAGCAAGTACTCTATCCATTGCCTCCTGCAGGTAAAATGTTACCCTGAGCCAGTGAAGGGAAAATAACGCACGTTGTTTATCATGTTTGATAAAACTTCTAATGGTGTGCTTCAATAAACAGTGAAGAAGGAGAAGGGAATTGATGTAGGTGGCTGGCCAAGTTCCTAGGAGTTATTTAAATGCTGGTGATATTGTATTATTAATGATATGTGAGGACGTCAAGAGTCTCAGCTAGACATCTTTTATTGTTACTTAAACTGAAAAAAGTAAAATAGGCTTACCAGAGAGATGAGAGATAAATAATTCTGATGAAAAACTTTATTAAAAAACGATTTTATCTGGGAGCACAGACAAATTTAATTTCAGATCCTTTCATAGGACAGGACTGCAAGATGCAACAGTTGCAAGTAAAATAATAAATATGTAAAGCATACAAGTATTAAGAAGCTCACCACTGATTACTGTGTGATGCATTTTTACATTTATAAAACTCTCACTCCAGTAAGCAGCTGGCATCTTGCAATGCTTTAGGGAGTAAGTTGTCAAGTTTCTCACCAAGATTTTTTTTTTTTTTAAATTTAAGCTGAAATTGTCTAACACACAAGGGACAAAAGCCCAGACAATTCAAGTCAGTTCTGCAAATTTCAGCTGAGACTTTGACGTCTATTGTAGTTCAGAGTTCTCTGTACCAAACCATGTTATCTGGCTTAGTCAGCCTCTTGTCTCTTTCCAGCAGAGGGCTGTGTTCCTGTGTTACTGGTATCCTCCCTCAGACCTTGTAAGGGTCTGCGTTCTTGTTGCATTTTGTGAGGGAAGTTTTTATATATCAAGAAGGTACAAGATACTCTAATTCCTTGAAGACTGACCCACATTCTTATCACTTCTGGAAGACACTAGTTATGTTTTTACAGCTGTAAAGGTCTACATACTGAGATAAGGCCTGCAGGGAGAAATAACATTGATCAGACCACAGAATACATCAGTAAAGCAAACAATTCCTTTTTCATACCTTGGTGGGGAGAGGGGAAAGCAGCAGGAAGAATGCA